TTATTTTGATATATCACAGTGAAAGATTTATCGTCCTCTTTTTTTTTTTTTTTTTTTTTTTTTTTTTAAAAAAAAAAAAAAAAAAAAAAAAAAAAAAAAAAAAAACCCACCAAGAAACAAAGGTTGGCCTGGGAGTGTAAGTCTGCTGTGCCAGTGACTCAGGGGGCTGAGGCAATATGACTATGAATACAAGGAGCTGAGGGGCAGAGGGCTTGCTTGGCATGTAGAATGCTGTGTTTCCCGAGAAACATTTTTTTTCTTTCTTTTTTTTTTGTTCTTTTTGAGACAGGGTCTCCCTGTAGCCCCAGCTGTCCTGGAACTCACTATGTAGACCAGGCTGGCCTTGAACTCACAGAGATCTGCCTGCCTCTGCCTCCAAAGTGCTGGGATTAAAGGCGTGCGCCACCGTGCCCGGCCCAGAAACACATTTTTAAAAGGCTTCTCCAAGCTTCATGAGCATGGAGAGCTAGGGTGAGCAGCAATCCCTTCACTGTACTCCTGCTGTTTGTTTAAGGAGATGGTCATAGGCAGGCAAGTGCATTTTGCAAATAATGGGCGCTGAGTCCTTAGCACCCCCACCCACCACCAAAACCCACATGTGCACTCATGGCCTTGGTGTTAAAGAGCTAAGGACTTGGAGGTAGGTGTTGGGAGCTGGAGGGTATCTATAGAGAGGGCACACTCAGAAGCTTGAAGGAGATGACTGACTTCTGTCCACACATGGACTGCACTGGGCACCAGTCTTGCCTGGGCAGTCCAGAGGTAGTGGGTCTCAGCTGGCTTACCACTTGCCCAGGGTCCACAGCTCATGTTTGTCAAGACAGGAAACACTCACCCCTTGGCTTCCTTCAAATCGGATGGATGGCCTCAATGATACTGAATCCTACAAGAGAAATACAACAGGAAAATGTCAGCAAACAAAAAATCCAGTTCCTTCTAGCAATACAGGACCAGACACAGGACCCACAGTGGCAGAACAAAAGCGTATGTGATGGCTTGCTGGGGCAGGGCTGTCAAAAATCTGTAGAAGTTCCTCCAACCACAGAGCCGAGGTCACACAGAGTCAAAAGCAAATGCTCAAGACAAGACAGCTGGTAACCCCAATGAAAGAGGCTGGACTCCAAGGTCAGCACTACCCTCAGAAGCCACTAGCTTATGACCTCCATTGGGAGAGGAGGAGGACAGAGTTCAGGCATGGCCCACTAGGAAGCAGCAAGAGCTGGAGGGGGTGAGATAACCTCAGCACTCCAAAAGCAGGACCCCTACAAGAGCAGGAGCTGGCTAAGCTGTGCATCAATGTCCCCTGCTGCTGGACTCTAAGAGCAGCTGGAGGGGCCTGTCCCACCCCGCTAGCTTGGCTAGGGACACTGTCACCATGTCTAAGCAACATGCACTGGAAGCTTTCTGCCCAGAGATCAATGTAGGATACTTCAGGAAAATGGTGGCCAGGGAGACTGCTTGCCCCATGCTGGGCCTGCGCAGGCAGTCTCAGTGTCCCCACTGCCACCAGGCAGTCCTGGATAGCCACCACATCCCTGGCTCAAGTCTGTCCTCATGCTGCCTCCTCTCAAAGATGCCACAGGCTCCTTCCTGCCCTCTCCAGCTCTCTCTGCCCATCTGCAGTGGCCACTATGTACCCTGCCACTGCAGGATAGCCTGGGGTGGAACAGGTTTCCAGAGGTAAAGGGACCATTTGCTGGGCCAGGAGACCACCACACCGCTCCCTAACGTGACAGGAACAGCTGGGGGAGGTGGGACAGAGTGAGGAAGCAGCCTCCCAGTAGCCTGCATGGCCACTTGAGACCCTGTGGCCCTAAACATGACACATACTTAGCCTCCAGGGTGGAGGTGACAGAGGCTCCCCCTCATCTGCTGGGGCCCCCAACTTTGCCCACTCTGCTGGGCTATGTCCACAGATCTGAGGGTCCTGTCCTGGCAGACACTCCAAGAAACTGAGGCCAACCAGCACGAGCTCTGCCCTCTCAACACCAAGCCAGCTCTTGGCCATGACACAGGATATCTAGTGTCCACCTTGTTCCACATGGACTGCATATGGAAGGCCGCTGTACAACAGCCACTGTGCTGAAGATGGTGGTGAGGCCCCCAGCAGAGTAGCTTGGGAGGGACCTGTCATACCACGCAGTTGTACCTGGAACAGAGGTCATGTGGCCTTTGCTGGAATGCTCAGACATGATACAGGAGAGTTTTGGATGACAGATGCCGAGAGACAGCACACATCTTTCCTTATAGAAATGCACCTGGCCTGCAGCAGACATCTGCACCCACAGAACGATGGAGGAGGCAGTGCTGCAGGGGCTGGCCAGGACTCATTGACCCAGACTCCTCACAGCAACAGCATGGGGCACATATGGTTTAGTTGGATTGTTTTGCTTTTTTGATACTGGTGGAGCCAAGGACCCCCAAACCCCAGACATACGCCTCACACTTGCACTGAACTAATCCCTGGCCCCATGGCACATCCAGGGATCTATGGCAAAGATGCCTGCCAGGGACCCCAGGAGAACTTAGAGCTGACCTCTCACCACAGGTTGTTGTTAGCTGTTTTGAGTCCATTCACAGGTCTGGGAGGCTAAGGTGGGAGTTCAAAGTCATCTGTGGCCACTCAGCAAGTCCGAGGCTATGTGACATGCTGTTTGAAAATACCAAAAAATCAAAGCCCCAAACAAACTAAATCTCTCAGTGGTTAGACAATTCTAACAGTGTGTGTTTTATGGGAGGCACGTTTCAGTGGCCACAGGCCTGCCAGGTGTCTGTGAGACGGGGACTGGGGGGACAGGAAATGCCCAAATAGGACAAGAAAGTCCCCCCACTGCCTTTCCACTTTCTTTTTCAGGCTCCCCTGCACACTGGGCCACCTCACCATTCCTAACAGCAGAGGGCAGAGTGGGTCAAAGGAAACCACTCAGAGAAAAGGAGACTCTGGCTCTGGCTCAGAGACCCAGAGTGGCTGAGGCCTAGAAGGGTGCCCAGGGGGAGAACAGCAGATGGTGGGTCCAGAGCAGGGACTTAGGACACCTGGCCCTCGTCTATCCCTAGGGTCGAGCTCTCCAGAGGCAGATGCTCCTTCTAGGACCTGCATACATCCTGGTGGGCAGCCCAAAGGGCCAGCTCCCCCCCCCATCCCCAACCCCCCATGGCCACACTGCCCAGCAGACCCCTCCCACGCCCTGAAACTGTTGGGCAGTGGGTCCTCTGAAGGCACCCGAGCTGCTCACTGCTCAGTGGGACTTCCTGTGCTGAAAGACAGAAGCAGAGACATCTAGTCCAGTCTTCCTCCAAGGCCAGTGATAGCTGACTCCACTTGACTGCCCCCATGTGACCTGGCTGCTGTCACAGACCTAGGCTCCTGGCCACACAGACTCCTGTGGTATCTCCTGAATTGGCTGGGCCCTCATGTAAACAGTCAGCAATTCACATGGACACAAGGCCCTTCCCTACACAACCACCTGAGTAGCCCTGAGCAATGACAGCACCCAGACTGCTGTCACTTGAGCTGCTAGCTCCCGTGTGGGCTGGGGACAGATGCTGGCCTTGTGCGATATCAGAACAAGGCAGAAATGGTGGCATCCCAGGGTTCCTTGGGAGGCTTGGGCAGGAACATGGTGGGGCCTGTGCCAGCGTGGGCCACAGACTGAGGCTAACAGCCTCTGAGCATAGTTCTGTGACCCATATGTACCCTAAGGTCACAGTGAACCCAGAGTGAAAGCCAACTGATAAAGACAGAGCAAACAGGGGGGACACTACTTGCTGTCCCCAAGTAGGCTGATGACCACAGCTGCCCATGGCCCTTGGACCAAGCTGCTGACAGCTGGTAGCCTGTCAGGTAAGCCAGTGTGAGGGAGCACAGGTGACTTGAGCGAGCTCCTGCTGGTGCTGAGCTGCTACCCCAGCAGGTGGTCTGGTAGACCCAGTGGCCTGGCTGGCTGTGGCTGTCACCCTTGACGCCTCTGTTCTGGGGCAGGTGGTTGCTGTCTCTGGACACCTGTAAGTTGCCTGACAGTGAGTCCTGCAGAGACACCACCCTCCAGGGCACAGTGTAGCTGGGCCATGCAGAGGGTGGTGGGTCCCTCGAATCCAAGCTCTTAGCTTGGTGACCTAGGAATACTGGGCCACAACACAGACTCCAAGGCCTTGTGAGGTTCACAGAGAACTGGTTTCTATAAACTTCTCACGTGCTCTAAGCTACCTGCGCCCACCACAGCTGCCACAGCCACTCTTAGCATCTGAGGCTGTCAGGACCAAGGGCCTAGAACACACATTTTAATGACTTCCACCCATTTAATGATCTCCCTACCCTGTGAGTCAGGTCTAGAAAGGGCTGCTTCCAGACTGAGGAACACAGCCTTCTGAGATTTGTGGTTCCAGAAGGCTCCTCGAGAAAGCAGCAACCTGGGACCAGGCATGGTAGCATATACCTGTAATCCTAACACTTGGGAGTTCAAGGTAATCCTCAACTATGTAACAAGTTTGAGACTAGCCTGGGTTACAAGAGAGCCTGTTTAAAAAAAAAAAAGTGGTTAACCTGGTCTTGCCACCCAGGGGCTGTGTGCTGTGAAAATTGGCACCACCCCTGAAGAGTGCAGGTGGCCTGCTTCCCCATGTGGCTGGTGGAGGCTCTAGCCCAGCATGCTCCTGAAGGTGGCATGCCTGTGTGTCATGAGAGTCAACTTTTTTTTTTTCTGTCTTTTTGAGACAGGGTCTCCCTGTAGCCTCAGCTGTCCTGGAACTCACTCTGTAGACCAGGCTGGCCTTAAACCCACAGAGATCCGCCTGCTTCTGCCTCCTGAGTGCTGAAGGTCACCTTTTAAGATGTGATGGCCCTGCAAGGCCCTGGTCTTAAACAGGCATCTGTGTTGGTCCCACAGTGCCTCCTACAGGCAACACTGGCAGATGGGTGCTGGGATGGTGGGAGGGGCTGGGGCAGGTGACCTGGCAGGCCTCAGCAGTGGATCAGGAGACACTCCCTACAGGCTCATCTGGGCTCTCAGCAGAGGAACCAAGTTGGTTCTGGGGTAAGAGCTGCTCTGAGCACCCCTTTACTGAGAAAGACCTAGAAACAGTTCTATGCAGTCAGCTGAGCCTGCAAGTGGCTAGAAGAAAGCTGGACATGACCTTGGGAAACACAAGGAGACCCAGGTGGTCATGTGGGACTCCCAGCACCTGTTTCTGGCAGCCTCAGCTTGTGCCAAATGGCAGAAACAAATGGCATCTAGGGCCACAGGAGACCCTCCATAGAGACTGACCAGAGTGACAAGCCTCCCCATCCCACCAGGTTAATGAGCTGCCTGTATGCTATGGGCGGGCAGCAGGGATAGATGACCACACTGTTTGGAGTACCTGCATCACCCCTGAAGTTGAACTCTGAGAGAGGGCCTGGGCCCAGGCAGGGCTGTACCTGGGCTGACAGTGTGGTGGGGCCAGACTGGAAGAGGCTGAGAGTTAACTGACTTCAGACCCTCACAGCAGCAGCAGCAGCAGCAGCGACACAGTGCCCCAGGAGGCCAGGTGCAGTGACTCATGGGGGATGGCTGGGAGAGGCCCCAAAAAAGTTGGCCCAGACCTTTTCTGCCAATGCAGGCAGGGTGAGGAGGGAGCTACTGGAATCCCCCCTCCCATCCCAGAGGTGAGGTAACAGGAAGTATTTATGACAGCCTGAGGCAGCCAACAGTTTACACAAGACTTTGGATACTGGTGAGTACCGCTAGGTGGGGGCGGGGACTCAGCTCCCAGGACTCTTTGGGCCCCAAGGGTGGTGGGAGAGGGTTTCAGCCCTACTATTGTCCAGGGACAACAGACCCTGTCATCCCAACCCTGTAGAGGTAGAGGCAAGAGGATCTGGAGTACAAGGTCATTCTTGGCTAC